CGATTACAAAACAGAGGATAACATGAAAGTCGTTTTAAGATTTCTCTGTATTATCTAAGAGGGTAAAAATATTAATTACCATTAGACCTTAATAAATTAAGAATGCAAGTCACAATTTCTAAAGAATCACTAAACGAACTGAAACAGTCTACTTTCCAAACTAGTTGAGGAGAAAATGGAATACAAAAAATAATCAATCCAAAAGTAACTCTTAATATTAAAAAAGGGGGCATTATAGAGCATTTGACTAGTTTGTTAAGAGACTACAAAACTATGTGAATTAGGACAAGTCTAAAAGGCCAGGCTTTAGGCACCTGGGTGGCTCAGTCACTTGAGCATCCAAATCTTGATTTTGGGCTCAGGTCATGATTCCAGGGTCATGGGGTTGAGCCACCCATTGGGCTCCACATTGAGTGTGGAACCTGCTTGGGATTCTCTCTCACCCCTTCTGCCCCTCTCCTCGGCTCATGTATGCTCTCTTTAAAAAAAAAAAAATTAAAATTAAAAGAATTAAAAGGTCAGGCTTTTTTTGTTTGGTATAAGCTGTGGGGGAGGAGCAGAAAAAGTGGGGGGAACAGAGGATCCAAAGCAGGCTCCATGCTGACAGCCGAGAGAGCCTGATGCAGGGCTTGATCCTACAAACAGTGAGATCATGACCTGAGCTGAAGTTGGACACTCAACCGACTGAGCCACCCAAGCGACCCTGTTTGGTAAAAGTTTTAAACAAAATGTATGTGGTTAAAGAAATTCAGGCCAAAAAAATACTTCTAAAAAGTTTCAAATATTATCCATAGGTGTATATAATACCGTACACTTGAGTATGCTTTGCAGGCAGCCTAGAATTAGCTTGGCACTCCCTTTAAGCTACTGCCAAAGACGTATTTCCACTAATAAGCCTAGATTAGGGATCGACTAACAAGTACCTTGTAGCTCCTCTTCTATCTCCTCTTCATCTTCACTAGAGGAAGCTAAGTAAGCTTGAAAATCCATGTCCAAAAGCTCTTCCTTTTTAAACTTCCTGTTGAGTGTTGTAATTCTTTCATGATCAGTCTCATCCCAAGTGATTTCCACCTTCACCAATAAGAATAAAAAAGTATCAGAATATTTGTCGTTAATGTGGATGTTTAACAATATTTAAAAGGTTAAGACATGTTAAAGCAAATCATAAATGACATGCTTAATAAAAAGTATTTTATTTATGAAAGAGGAACCATTTTCATCAATCTATGTTCTTCTATATCTCTCTGCTATATGCAAGGTACTCTATTATTGGGAGTAGAAATTCATCAGTGTGTTAATTAATTGTAGGGAAAGAAATAAAACACATTAGTGAAAACGTTACATTATTATGAACCAAGAAAACATGTTTTTCACCTGGAGTTCTAAGTATTTCAGGAGGTCTACAAACTATGTGAAATCTATTAAAGCTTTCAACACAATTTCAATAGGGTCCTTTTTCCAAAAAAAGATTAAGAGCCACTGATAAGAAATGTATCTACTGGTTGGAAGTACAGTAAACCCCCACGATACAGAAATTCATCTATAACATGATTAGTGTTGATTGACTCCTGCCCTCTATGCAGCCCCTATTCTCAGATGGGGTCTTGTCAGATGTTTTAACTTCATTATAAGTTAATGAATTATAAGGGTGGGTCCCCTATGTTTTGTTTTGTTTTGTTTTGTTTTGTTTTGTTTTGTTTTGTTTTCTCCTCAGGCTAATCTCCCCAGATCAGGGCAACAAAATGGGCACCAGTTAACCAAAGGATCCCTAAGATAACTGTCACTACCTTAGAAGTTCTAACTAGTCACAGGATTCAGAATTACCCCTATTCAGAAAACTTCCCTGAGATGATAACCATAAAACTGCTACTGGAACTGGTACAGATGTGGATGGTACACTAGGAATTCCAGAAAAGCTGTCTGAACAGTCTTGCCTTGGTCATATTTCAGTCTTGAAAAGAAACCAACCCTACATTTTATGTTACTGAATCTTTTAAACTACACTTATCGCATAATGGTGGGGTTTTACCATACTCAGTAACTCATCAAGGTCACATAGTGCCCACCATAGCATGCGGAAGACAGATACAATAGGTCTCTCTACCATCAGCCTGTCCTCAGAAGAGCACAGTGGTCTGTCACAGAAAAGGCAATGGGAAGACTGGGTAGTTGCTGCAGAGTCTATCTGTGGGTAGAAGGTTTATGGGGGGAAAAGAAGAGAGAAGGTAGGCAGCTAAGTAACAAACTAATTCAATAAAAATCTTCTGGCCGTTCATAATTAAGCATTAATGTGACATCTAGTAGTCCTGAATTACTTTACTTAAATTGTTTTTATAATTTTGGATCATATCCACAGAAAAAATGTGTTTCTATTTAAAATTTCTACTGGTTTTAACTGTGATTTGAAATAATCTGTTACCTCCTTCTCCTTACTCTGTAGGGTATTAATAACTGACATATAACTTATTAAAGAATCTAGCTGAATAAGAATGTACGGGAAAGACAGAGGAGAAAAACATTTGCGGGTAAATGACTCAAGCTTAAAGACATAACAAAAATTTGAAAATAGGTTCAAACAAATAAAAATGCAAATATACTTGTGTTTCCCTTCTACTTGTATTTGTGCATTAAAATTTTGAATACTTTCCGTTTTCAAAGATGTTATAAGTAAATAATACACCAAATCTTTTCTTAAAGCAAGAATCCAGCTATACACTTTTAACAGTTAAGAAATACCGTTGAGGTTCCCATCGCAGCAGATGTGAAATATTTTGGTTTATATGCTGTTAAATCCACTTCTGAGGCTATGTCCTTGGGCTCATCATCAAAGGTAATATCATCTGGTATAAACCTAAGAAACAAAAAATAAAGTTATTTAAACATATGCTGTAGTGATAAACAACCAGAGTTTAGATTCTCCCCTAATTAGTTCTAGTTTGTACATACATACCATATAAAAGTTTCTATAAAACACACACGTAGATGAGGCAAACAATGTTAGAAATAACCTTGGCGCAAAATTTCTGAAATTCATAAACCATAAATCTGTAATTCCACTAAATTTGAATGAACTCTGTAGGTAGAAACCCTGCATTAGGAATCAGTTAATATGAATCAGGTGCAAACACACATGCCCCCCCCCCCCATGTTTCAAAACGACCTAGACTCCTGATGGCACAGTCTTGGCTTGTATATGGTATTTTGAAGATCAAATAGAACTAGTAATGGATAAGTGTTCTAAATATAAAGTATCAAACACAGAAGGTGTCAGTGAAAATAAGGAATAAGCTTAAAATTAAGACTAAAAAATCTTCACAATATTATCTTACAATATTTTTTCATAAATAATTAGCTACTAAGTGTAAATGTAATTGTCTGACAACGCTTAGGCATCAGGCTAAAGAATAGGGGGGAAAGCATAGTTAAATAACCCATGGTTAATATATTTAGGTTTTGTAATTTATATAGATTTTGTTCCATACACAAAAAAAGCATATGCTCTGTAATCCACTAAAAATTATTTGTTGGTAGAGAAACAGATAATTAAGGTTCACTAGGTCTACACAGTATCCTCCTCCAGCTACACTTCTGCACAGATTTAGTAGAAGAGAAATAGGTATCTGAAACCAATATTTTTAAGTGTTATTAATGTGCATGCATTTATATTTTTGGGCAGGTGAAAAAAGTTTCTCTAGATAATTGGACAGTACCAGAAAACTCAATTTTCTTTTCTGATGCATGCTTAACAAAATCAAACAGGGAATGTAAATTTTTTCCATGGTCACTGATCTTATTTTCTAGGCCTGCCAGACCTTATTCTAACATAGTATGGAAATGTCCCCAAACAGAACTAGAAAGAACAAAATGATCCCGAAAACAACATGTTAACATGAATTCGTAACATCCAAAGAGTTTGATATTCTAACAAATGTTTGGTAACTACTATTTAAACATTCAGAACAAGTACCTCCAACTGAAACTCTTAACATAAAAGAGAAGGAAACACTCGTCTGATGAGATAAGCCCTTTGTGTTAAATATGCAAACATACTAAAATTTTATTCCAAATTATCAATTCAAAAATTTTTATTTGTTTTTCTACCAGTCGGAATGCTTTCAAAGTATGAAAGCCACTGACTATGAATGATGCATTTTTTTTTGGAAATATTTCATTTTGAGAACAAAGCCTCTCACAAACCTGGATACAGAGAACTGATTTTTATTCAAAGTGTCATAGTAAAATGGTGTATTGGGTTCAAAAGGACCAGGCTAATGATAAAATGGTACAGTAGTTTAGTTTCCTGTTTCCTCAGAACTGACATTTACAACCACCTAAGGATTTTCAGCTCTGGGTCAGTGAAGCCTGTGCACGTGGTGAAAATAACGCCGAAGTCCAAAGACAATGCCGGCAACACCATTCATTCATTGAACAGCATTTATGGCAGCATTGTCCAATGAAACTTTCTGTGATGACGGCAATCTGCTCTATCCAACATATGGTCTGCCCTATATCTACTCTGCATTAAGTACTTTACATATGTCTAATGACTGAGCAAATGAATGATTTTAAAATTTTTAAAAATTTTAAATAGTCAGATGTGACTAGTGGCTACTGTATTAGGCAGCACAGATGTAGAGGTACCAGTTTATTAGCAAATTCCTCTGCCCTACCTCAATGCTTTTTTTTTTAAGTTAATTCACCTGGTTCCTAGTTCTAAAAGAGAGTTGCAAAGAAAATATCACTACATAGAACTAAAAACATAGCCAGTATGTTTGAAATTCAGGATATAAATGCGGGGTGACTCATACATAATAGTTTAGCATTTCCTTGTTATAGTTTTCTTTAAGAGTGATGCTGCACAGGAGCAAAAAATCCCAAAGCAAAAAATCCTCTTTCACAACATGAAACATCATAAAATACTAGGAGTCTAATATTTTACTTCTTATAATCATATTGTGCTACAAGATAAAATCGGTAAGACATACTGGATTACCTTAGATCTATGAATGAACAACTACTTTCAAATTCCAGGCCGTCACAATCCTCATAAATTTTGCCAGCTGTTTCAGGGGAATCACAGTCTACTACTGCATAATAGTACTTGAGTCGTTTGAATTGATAATCTCTCAGTTTTTCTCTAGAAGTCCTAAAAGGTAGAAAACTCATTAAGCTTAGAACACAAAGACCGATCTTCCTTTAAAAAATGAATGTAATTGTTTCAAAAAATTGTTTCATCCCAATCTATCTTTCTTTCATGACTCTGCCTTTATGGGCATTAATACTTAAGCTCATTTTATTATTTTGACAAGGCACAGACTAGCTATTTTGATTGAAATTTAGTGTCTAGAAGAGTGTAAGAATTACATATGGGGGCGCCTGGGTGGCGCAGTCGGTTAGGCGTCCGACTTCAGCCAGGTCACGATCTCGCGGTCTGTGAGTTCGAGCCCCGCGTCGGGCTCTGGGCTGATGGCTCAGAGCCTGGAGCCTGTTTCCGATTCTGTGTCTCCCTCTCTCTCTGCCCCTCCCCCGTTCATGCTGTGTCTCTCTCTGTCCCAAAAATAAATAAACGTTGAAAAAAAAAAATTTAAAAAAAAAAAAAAAAAAAAAGAATTACATATGGTTACCTAGAGTTTAACTCTTGAATAGTCATTTTTTTTATTTTGCTACCACATATAACCGCTCAAGTAAAACTGCTGAACAAGTTTATAATGTTAAATGTATTATATTAATATAATATATTAACATTAATACGATTAATGATAATTAATAATTAATGATAATATTAATAATTAAACATATTACAAACTATGCTAGGAAAGCATTAGTTCTAAGTACAAAGAAATTCCTGATCTGGTAAAATGTTTATTTCAGATTTATGTGTTGTCAAGTCTAAATGGTTGTAAGTTTAATTTCATTTAACATATTGAAACTCTTCATTGGCTCTCTTCTGCCACCAATCTTGTCAATTACCATTTTTATTACGTGCACATAGCTCCACCTAGTGGTTTAAAAATTACCTTAAATTTTTTTTCAATACTACATTATGATGATAAAACAATGTTATCACTATTTTTTTATTTAATCTTCAAATTTACAAAAACTGTATATTTTGAAGGCAAATAGGGTTTCAATGCCACTATTATGGAAAGCAACATCTCAGGAAAAAAACAAAACTTATTCAGAGCAATGAGGCTGAGAAATGTTTTTCAAAACTGCAGTAATTTGTGAATATTGAAATGTAAATATACACACAAAATGTTGTTGGAATAGCGTGCCACTTCTGACAGACTTTAATCTGCTTTTGCAACCTGTTTTAACGATGAATGGCAGGCAGAGCATAAACTTTAGTTCCATTACAGTGACCACAATTCTGAGTTAGTGACATGAACTTATGAGATTTAATTTTATTGTCTATAATGGCTTAATACCAGTCCTTTTCAGGGGCATCTTCAGGTATACTTAATAACTCTACTGGTCCTTGAACTTGCTCTTCCTTCATCCTCTCCTTTCCAAATTCTGAAGGATATATCTAAAAACACACACACACACACACAAAAAAATAAGATAAGATCAATATATTCTTTACTTTTCTTACAATATCCGGAACTCCAAGAATTACAACTGAACTCAATGAAAACAGCAAGAATGACTCACTTCCAAACCTACTACGGAAAGCTAAAACATTCTGAGGAATCTCCTTAAAAATAGTTGTTTTGGTTGGACTGAAACAGATGTGGAACTTCAGAACAGAAACAGAGTGTCTCCTGCATACATCAACTAGGACAAGATGGTTCTGGAATCCAAGGGAAAAATAAAAGCAAAACAAGAGTCTAGGCACTCCAGGAACTCAATGTAAACACACACATGAGAAATGACTGTTGACGCAAAATACACAAAAATGATTACTGAAGGACATAAAACATACGTAATAAAAAATAATTTTGTAATACTCAATTTATCTTTTAAGTCATATCATTTATCCAATATCCATTATCCAATGCTTTAAGAAATCCTTTAAATAGAGGGGCTCCTGGGTGGCTCAGTCGGACTTTTGTTCAGGTCATGATCTCACAGTTCGTGGGCTTGGGTCCAATGTTGGGCTATGCTGACAACTTGGGGAGCCTGGGGTCTGCTTCAGATTCTGTTTCCTTCTCTCTCGGCCCCTACTCTCCCCCTGCCCCAAAATAAATAAACTTAAAAAAAATTAAGAAATCCTTTAAATATAACTGAAAATTATCACATAGTTTAGATACAATCTTGGTATAAAAAAAGGATTCACCCTCATTGGGATTTGGTACTATTTTTTTTTTTTTAAGTTTATTTATTTATTTTGAGAGAGGGAGTGTGTGTGTGAGCATGAATGGGGGAGGAAAAGGGAGAGAGAAGGAGAGGGAGAGGAAGAGGGCAAGAGAGAGAGAGAGAGAGAGAGAGAGAGAAAATCCCAAGCAGGCTCCATGCTGTCAGGGCAGAGCCCAATGTGGGGCTCAAACTCAAGAACCATAGATCATGACCTGAGCTGAAACCAAGAGTTGGACATTTAACCTACTGAGCTACCCAGGCAACCCAGGATTTGGTATTTTTGTATATTGGCTACTTTTGAGAGTCAAGAAATATAACTGTATTAATCTGTCTTGTTTGGATACTACTGGGCTTAATATATATGTTAACAAACTATTTTTTTTCAATTCTGTGCAATATGCAATTTATCAAATAGGGGATTTGAGTTTTTCCTATTAGTGTGAGTGGCAATGATAGGTTTTCACGTAGAAGTTTGAAATATATATGTAGTCACATCTGTTGATTCCTTTTCCCTTTTCAAAGTCTAGAAATTCCTAATACCTATTTCCTGAAACACAGATTTAATAAAAACACAATTCCATTTTATTCTGTTTCTGGGGTTTGATTTTTTAATTTTTTCCCATACTTTATCTAGAGTTTATTTTGGGCTATTATAAGGTAAAGATCTGAAATAAGCTCTTCATATAAAGACTCATCCATTTGTTCTAATATCAGGTATTCAAACTTATTTTGGTCTAAATTATAATCTAAACTCTTCTATTTATCTATTCCATTCCATCTATTTGTCCCTCTATTTTTACCCAAACTTCTTAACTCACACAGCAATATAAAAGATTTAGATGTTGGACCTGACAGAATCCTTTTATACTGGTGTATTTTCCCAAAAATGTATTAGTCATTCTCACTGTTTATTCTTTTAGATGATTACTGGTATCCTTTTTCTTTACTTTCATTTGAACTGAGATTATGGCTGAAACTGCACTAAACCTATAGAACTGACATCTTTAAATATTTAAACAGAATTATAACTTAGAGCTGTTTCAGGCACTACACTAAATACTAAGTGTGAGTTTCTTTTCATTTCATCCTTACAACTACCCTAGGAAATGCTATTTTTGCATTCACTGCCAGATGAGAGAACACATCTGAGAGATTAATAAAATGCCCAAAATCACATGCCATATATCAGAATCAAGATTTGTATTTTTTTTTAATGTTTATTTATTTATTTTGAGAGAGAGAGCATGAGCAGGGGAGGGGCAGAAAGAGAAGGAGAGAGGGAGTCCCAAGCAGGTTCAAGCCTGAGGCAGGGCTGGTTCCCACAAACTATGAGATTATGACCTGAGCTGAAATCAGGAGTTGGATACTTAACTGATTGAGCCACCTAGGTGCCCCCAGAATCAAGATCTGCCTGCAGTCTGTCATACAATAAAGCCTAGAGTCTTAACCATTATGCTTGCTTTCCAGAAATATGGTATCTCAAAATTTAAGTTTTTCAAATTTACCAGTGTTACCATTTCACAAATGTCACATGTTTAAGGGAATTCTTAAGGATTTTGTGTTTCTGCTGCTAGTAAAAATAGATTTTTTTTTCTTAATTGGTTAAGAATTGAAGAATGCAATTAAAAAATATTTATTTTATACTCTGTCCCTTTATTGAGCTTTATATATTGTAATAGCTTTCCAATTGATCTCTTTGGGTTTTTAAATTACGTACAATCACCTAACCCATCAATAGCAATAATTTTACTCCTTCCTTTTACGTTTGTTATACTGGTTTCATGCCTAACTACAGTGGACAACTGCCAGATTATTTTCTTTAAAAGGAAAAGTATGACTTAAAAAAAAAAAAAAGATCAGATTCAAAATGTTTAGAAGTATTTACTTCAAAATGAAATCAATTCTCACCTTTACAGAAAATATAACACCTCCTTTAGGTTTAAATGAATTAAACAAAGCCAGCAAATCTTTTGCCTTTAATCTGTCCCAGTCCATGTTGCAAACAGCTAATCGACGTGTAATCTAAGAAATGAGAAAAATTAAATATTACATAACCTCTATCATTCCCAACACTTATAAAATATACAAAAAACGTAATGCTTTCTTTCCCCCAAAATTCTTACATCATCAATATAAGTATTTATCTAAATAGTTTCAATATGTATAAGAGAAAACTTTGGTCCTGAGAAACTTAACAGAAGACCATGGGGGAGAGGAAGTGGGGAAAAAAAAGTTACAGAGAGGGAGGAAGGCAAACCATAAGAGACTCTTAAATACTGAGAACAAACTGAGGGTTGATGGGACGGGGGGAGGGAGAGGGTAAAGTGGGTGATGGGCATCGAGAAGGACACCTGTTGGGATGAGCACTGGGTGTTGCATGGAAACCAATTTGACAATAAATTATATTTAATGTAAAAAAAAAAATAAATAAAAATAAAGATGATATTTAAAAAAGAAAAAGAAAACTTTGGTTGAGTCACACATGATAAAACTGTCAACAGATAAACACTTTCTCTTATATGGTTTTTAGTTCTTGAATCAGAATATGATAATCAGCTGATTTTTTAATAACCAAGTTTGTTAAGCTATTTTGCTTCCCATGCATGAGCATGGAGGTTAAGTAGATTACCCTATATCATTTCTAATAGGTGCAGTAGGAACTGAAATAAAAACTACCAGCTAAAACAATCAATTCCATATCAAGAAGTTTTAATGAGAATCATCATTAAGAGTATTTACCAATAAATCTTTTCCCAATTTAATGACATCAATTCTACCATTCATAAAAGCTACTTGTACTGTGCTCATCACATATAATCTTATTTATTCAAAAGCTCACCTCATCAGCCCGAGGAGCATCTTTATCTAATTCTCTCCAAGCATGCTCAAAACCAGAGTCCTCTGGCAGTAAATCTGCCATATCTTCTTCATCTTCAGAACTAGTTTCTATATTTCCTTTACCCCTTGCAAGATCAGGACCACTGTCACTTTCATCATCATTCTCACTCTCCTCATCTTCATCCTCCTCCTCATCATTTTCATTTCCATCAACATCATCATCATCATCATCATCATCAGTTGAACTTCTACTAATGCCTGTAATTTCATCTTCAGATTCTTCATCACCTATTTCACTAGCACTTTCTGAATCTTCCTCCAGAGCATCTTTGTCAAACCTCTTACCACCTGTCGAGTTTTCAAAACCATCACTGTCTCTTGCCATTAGTGAAACCACTGCAAAAAACATTAAAGGAGGGAGAAATTAAGAAAATGTAAACACAATTAAATTCAAATCACGTTATTCTGACCTCAAATCCAGTAAAACTAATTTCTATGAAAGAGACTTAAAAAACAAAAAACCCTAAATTCAACAAAAGTTCATGCCTAAATTACTTGATAGAAATTTTGATATGTACCCAGATCACACAAGTAGATTCACATATTTGTTCAGAATTATGCAGTGCCTGCTGTGTGCTAGGTGCTCAATATAAAATCATTGGTAAGAGAAGTTATTAGTTAAGCGAATAGATGGAAGGGTCTGGATCAAATAAAATCAATCACATCCATACACATAAAGAGCTACAATAGGAGTCTCTATATAAGTGCAACTGAGTTGCTACTTGAAGGATAAAGAGGAAGTATTCAAGATTAATGAGGGAAATGCTCCAAACACCAAGAAAAATAAATGCAAAGATCCAAGAATAGGAAAAAGCTGGCAAGAATATATGGACTGCAGGTGGCCAAGAGTCAAGTAAGAAATTAAACTGAATAGCGAGGTACAGGCCACGCTTTCCAAAAACCATGTAGAAGGTTTGGATTTTGTCATAAAAGCAGTGATAAGCTACTGCTATGCTTTCAGAAAGAGGGACATCATCAGATTTGCACAGTGAGATAGATCACCTTGACTATGCTGTAGAAACTTGACCAGATGGAGTCAAGAGGATATGATTAGAAAATTAGAAGTGTAGTACAATACTCCTACCAAGAGATGAAGATAGCACTAAATTATTAGAAACAGATACAAAGAGGTTAATGGATTCACTTCAGAGTTTCGGAGTCAGGAGTTAAAATCAACAGTAATTAGTGACAGGGGCTTGGTATGAGGCACAGAAGTTTTAGAATTGTCAAAGATGAGTCCCAGCTTCTTGGCTTGAGGATGGATGGATAGATGGATAGATAGATAGGTAGATAGATACATAGATACGTAGATACATAGATAAACATGCAATATTGGAAAAGAAACAGTTTGCTTGCTTGGTAGAGGTAGATCATGAGTTCAGTTTTCACTATGTTGAATCTGAAGTGCCTTGGAATCATACACGAGGAGATATCAAGAAGGCTGCTGGCTGTATGAGTTTACAGCTCAGAAAAGTTGCGTGCTGGAGATAAAACTTTTCACTCACTCATGTGTAGTGATAACAGAAGCTTGAGATGTGGATAAGATCACCTATGCAGGGCAAAACACAGGTTTTCTGCTAAATCTTGAACTTTGTAACTAATAGCAATACCATGAAGAGTGAAAGATTGTTTTTACTTATATTGGATTTTTTTTTAACCCTCATAACTCTGAAAAACCTCATTTTCTAGTTCTAAAGCAATTTATATGATTCTTTCTACTATGGGTATGTGTATGTTGATATACAGTATCTCACACATTTTATTCATCTTTAAGTTGGAGCTTATGTTTCTGCTTAAAGCTCTATTTGGAGAAATGAAAAAAATATTAAAAGCTTAATGCTTAGAATGAAATTCAGAGTTAGTTTTTCCCTTGCTCCTATAATCTTATAATAGTTATTCATTGACCTACTATTTACTACTTACTTTACTATGTAAATAAAAGGCATTGAACTCAGGAAAAGAAAAAGGGAGATGGCTTGTAACATGATCCTATGCTCCTGATTGTTCATAAGCCAAAAGAAATTTTTTATTGAATAATGAAGCTTTATTCTAAGGTAACACAGAAGAGACATCTAAATTTGCCTGCAGAGAGGTATTTAAGACAGGCTTCACAAAGATGCCATTTGATCTGAGACTAAATGAAAGAGTTCTGCTAGGAGGAAAAGAAATGGGCTTCTGTTTTAGTACCACAAGAGAGTGGGGGACCATAAAAAATAACTAGCCAGGAGATGTGAAAAAGCCAAAAAAAGGAATTATCATAAGTTCTGCATATGAGATCAAAAAACACCACAACAGTGAAGGAGAGTTACTATGAGGCAAGCACCAGAATTCACTTTTAAGCAACGTGCTCAGAAATAACACCTCAGAGATCTACCTTTATCTAATACTGCAATTATTTCTCAAGCATCAGTCATTATTATGCCATTTTCATGATTTTTGCATATCACTGTTTTTCACTAAATTGAAATCTTTTTTAATTAAAAAAATTAGCTTTGTTCTAAGTATCTCTGATGTCACAGATGTGATGTAGTGACTCTACTTTTTCTTAAATAAATATTTATTCCTAAATACATATCTATTAACATAAAAAACTTTGAGTATCTTGTTACATATGCCATGTTTTCCCGTATGACAATGGTACATACATCACACTTTGTGTGTGATTTGGGTTATATAATAAATCAATACACCAAAGACTTAAAAAAGATCTAGTATTTTAATATTTTTGATATCGAGTACATTCAGAGTACTGATTTATTCAGTAAATATTTGCTCAGAGCCCACCATGTATACAATACTAGATAATGTAGGATTATCTCTCTATTCCTGGATGGTACTGCTCTACAGTAACTGTAAACAGTACTTACCTTGCTACTTAAAAAAATGCTTTGTTACCCCCCCCATTATAAAAGTAATGAATGCTCATTGGAAAAATATTAAGATAATACAGGTTAATAAAGAAAATAAAAAGACTAGTAATTTTTCATGCAGAGATACCTGGATGGCTATTTTGGTACATAATTCCCTAAATCTGTTTTCTATGATGTATCCATTAATTTTTTTAAGTAGCTTGTCACACCATTATTACTATTTTGCAACTTATTTTTAAAGCTTCATATATCATAAACATTTGGATATATCACAATTTATTTAATCAATCCCCTGATTTATGCTAATTTTACATTTTAAAAACAATGCTATAATGCATATTATTTGCACTTATGCCCAATTAAAATAAGTTCTTAGGAGTACAAGTGCTGGGCATCAACATATCATAATGACACATAATACCAAACCATACCTCCCCACATCACCTGTACCTTGCAGCACTTAAAAAGACCCCTGCACATAGTAGTTGCTGGAATGATAACTGACAAATGAATAATGAACAAAAGATGGTTATATACAAAGTCACTATTCCTTACTTATACCTAATGCCTTTCTAGACTATAGAACTGATGTAAGTTACTGGAAGAAACATGATGGGGTAGAAAGAAAGATTCAAAGATTGAGTCGCAGGCCCAGCTCTGTGTATCCTAACATAAATCACTTTAGTCTTGTTTCCCAATTAATCTATCCTAATTTCTCAAGCTTACTGAGAAAATTTAATGGAGATATATAAAAAGATTCTATAAAATCAACCCAAAGGATTATATGGGTATGTTTTATTAATCCAATGCCCCAAATCAAGTGAAATTTAAAAAAGGCTAGACTAACTTATCTCACAAACTCAGCATCAAACAAATCTTGCTGCTGTTCCTATTCTGATCTTATTCTCCAATTTCAATAACCAAACTCCTATCCCTTCTCCTTACACCTCAGTTTGCTGCCTGGTTCCACTACAAACGAAATGACACCCCATCCTGACCTCCTACTCCCTATCTAGAATTCTATCTACTGCCTGATACCTCCTACCTTTCCAATATAATCTCAGCCTGTCAAGACCTCTCAGGCTCTTCCTGGATGCCTATCCTCCTTGGGTCTCATAATCACAGCCAGCTTTGGGCTCATCTGAATACCAATTTTCAATTAACAACATCAACAACTGGCAACACCAACACTCAAAATTCCTTGCTGCTGGACGGGACACAAAATTTTAATAAGTAAACAAGTAGGCATGAACTAGAATCAGACATTTCTTAGTTCCAAACAACCACTTTTAGCTGTGTTATCCACTCACCCCTTTAGAGACCTTATTATCTAATCAAATGGGAATACTTATCTCTTCTGAACATATCCAACCATATCTTTGCTCAAAAAGTCCTTTCTATATAGAATGCTCTGGTCCCTCAATTTACTTTTTCCAAATCTGATCGTACTTCTCCTATCAATTTTTCTCTGGTTGCCATATCTTGAGCGACGTCTTCCTCTGAATTCTCATAGCCCTCTGCTAAATATCTTTTATACCACTTACCATTATTCTATCATATATTATGGACCTAATTTCTTCTACTTTAGATCTGTGGTGTCCAGTATGTACAAGCAGCCACATGTAGCAATTGAGTACTTGTAATGTGGCTCATTCAAATTTTATACTTGAGATTAGTAAGAAAATAGAATGTAAACTATATCATTAAACTTTAAGTTGATTACATCTTGAATGAACTTTTTGATGTATTAGGTTAAATATTATGTTATTAAAAATGAATTTCACCTGTTTTTTTTACTTCTTAATGTGTCAACTAGAAAATTCAAAATTATACATTTTTTATTAGACAGTGCCGCTTTAGCTGATGGCACTGCTGAGTTTAGCAGGACGTTATTTACAAAAGAGGATCTGCAAAGGGCCAGGAAGGGCTGAAATCAAGGCCAAACTCCACTAACACGCTCTGCAGGCGTGTTGTGTCTGCTCAGGGGAAATAAACCTAACTGCTTCACTCAAAGCTGCTGGCCCTTACCAAACTGTGAGCTCTGGGAGCTCTGCATGTCTAAAAGGGCGTAACTTTTTCTAATGTGCACAGACATCATATAAGCTAGTAGTAGGCCTAAGATGGGGGCCCATATCTTACTCATGTTTATCTGCCACATTACAAGTTACTACACGTAGCTGAATGAAGGATGAATGAGTACCCAACTCTACTAACCCTCTTCAGACACCTGTTCTTACTGTGTGATGACAACATATAACGTTTTACTTGGTTACAGAACATAGCTCTCACTAGTCCCCACCACAAATCACAATCATTGTGTAGCCTCAAGTTTTTCTCTCCTAGCAATTAATAACACAAAATAAAAAATTAATAATCATTAAATGGTATTCTTTCTTTCATAGCTTTATCTCCCAAATAAGCATTTGATCATTCTCATTATACTATAGAAATTCTTACTACATGTCTCCTTTTTAAAAAAATCAGTATAAAAATTAGTAATGTAATATCAAAGTATCTGTAATTCTTTCCAACAAACCTGATAGCATTTCTCTTCTTGTCTTAGAGTACTTGAGCTTGGGAGATTTCACAATTTCAGAGACGCCCAAGTCTACTTTTCCTTTGGGACATGACTCTGTACTATGTTGAACAACGTTTTTTTTCCCTGTTGTACTTTTCTGTGTAAATTCTTCTCTGTTTTTCTTAGAACTTATTTTTGAATCTACCTTCTTAGATTTGCATGACTCTTCCATTTTCTGAATTCTGTCAGAGTTATCCAAATCATTTTTATCTCCAGAATCCTTTTGATTATTTTTTTTGCTTTCTCTCTTTTTCTCTTCATCTAGATTTTTTGATTCTATTTTGTTGTTAGTCTGGGGTTTTTTCTTCTTCCTTTTCTTTTGGTTCAATGCTTTATCATCTTCATAAGATAGATCTGAATCAGAATCTGAAAGGTCATAAAAACGCTTCAAGTCCTCTGTAGTGCTGTGGTTGATGGGGCGTCCTCTTTTATCCACAGCATAATTCAACTTGAACCTTTTGTCATGAAACATTGCTCGAAATCTCTTGTCAATTTTGACTTTTCGATCCTTTTCTGGCATTTCCCAAAATCTTGGGTCCTTTGTAACCCTCCTAAACCGCTGGTCACTCATTATTTCTTCTTTGGATGCCATTTTTAAATGTCTGACTGGACAAATGCTTTGAAGAAATCAAACACTAAAAAGCAAAACAAATGTTATAATAATGAAGGATTAGTAATACAAGATGCTTTGGGAAAAAATACTAATTCACAATATATTCTAAGTTAAACGTACACAAAGTTAACACATCCAATTTCATTTCCCAAACTTATTCTTAGTCACATGCAGAAAAGCAAAAACAATCAGAACATCCTCTTTTGATTACAGAGCATTTGGAGAAACAAATTTAAGGCAAAAGCAAACAGAATTCCAGGGCTTTACAGAGGGAGGCAAAATGCTTACTAGCCAATTGGCTTAGTAAGCAAGCCAATGCTTAGTAGCCAACTACTCAGAGTTTGTACATTTCTTTTTATATACCTGTACTTGTTACAAGTTAAAAGCTAATGTAATCAAGTTTCCCAAGCCTCAGTTGGTCTCATTTGTTTCTTCACATTCTGGTCCCATTCTCTGTTAGTCTTCACCTCATGCTACTCTGGACAGCCCTTAATTCTACATGACTAGTGTCCTAACAGACCCAAATCAATTAGGTTTAGCTCACAAAGTTCCCTCTATGAATCCGAGCATCCTTCAAAAATCAGGTAAAGTTTCATCGTAGTTAATAAATTTCACTTCTTTCTATTTTTTCTTATTTTATAAGAACTACGGCCCAAACAGGCTGATTCTTCTTGAAACATACTAGACTCTGTAGGTGTGGGAGAGATTAGTATTGTTCCCTTGAAAATAGTTCCTAATGGTTTAACATCTCGATTTGCTTTTGCAGAGCTAAGAGTCATTGATTATTAAGAACAAAAAAGAACTAATCAAACAGGGTAGTGCTTTGTTTTGAAAGGCTTATTTTTTTCCTTAAATTTGAAAACAACTTTTTATAACCAAAAAGAAAAAAAAATCACAGGTTTCAATGATGCATTTACACACTTAATCATTTAACCCTCTGAACAGGTGGGAACGGAATAGCTGTTTCATCTAGTTATTAGGTGTAAGTATTAATGTTTACGCTGAAAGCATTCGATAAACGTCAGATATTCAGGCAGAGAAGGGCGACCTGACGTCACCTTCTGACCCCCACCTTCATTTCCTTAGCGCACTCTCTCCTGTACCCACCCTCTAACGCGGAGAACACCAGGGTGGTCCCAGAACGACGATCTCCTACCCAACCTTAAACCTCAGGGCACAGCTACGGACTGAGGTCCCTCAAAAGGACCCTGGGGAGGATCAAGGAAGTCTGAAAAACGAGACCGGAATGGCAAGGGAAAAGGGGGTAACCCCTCCGTGAATCCGAAGGAGACCCTGTCAGAGATTAGTTCGGGATCCCCTGCAGCCCTTTCAGAAATCCAACCCTACTCACCTCGTCGCGTCTCACATGCAACGCAGACCCAGAGTCCTCCGCGGGACGCTCCTCCGGGACGGCAAGAGAACTGGTCCAAACTACGTTCCCTTTACCTCTGCGGCGACCCGTAGCGTAGGCGCCGGAGCCGCGGTGGCGCAGGCGCAACGTAAATGCGCCTGCTTTACCGGGGGGAGATGTTGCGGTTAGGCGTCCTCTGTCTGTGGCGGCGGAGACCTCTGGTGTTTGGGGTCCCAGCAAAGAACCTCGGCCTTAGAAAGGTTGCTTCCGGCGTCTCTCCCCCGGGCAGCACCTCGCCCAGAGCCCTAAATATCTTCGACCGGGATTTGAAGAGAAAACAGAAGAACTGGGCGGCCCGGCAGCCCGAACCCATGAAGTTTGACTATCTGAAGGAGGAGGTGAGTCCGCGCGGCAGCAGGGGAAGGGCGACGCCGAGCTCTGGCTCCGAGTCCGGGGGCTCCGGCCAGGCCCCAGCAGACCCCACATCACGTGTGACCTTGAGCAGCCGTTCTGCCTGAGCCTCTACTGTAATCCCTGAAGGGGTGGACCGGGATATTTGTAAGCTGTTCATTCACTCACTCACTCACTCACTCAGCAAATATCGCTTGAATTTTGTACATGTATGTTATGGGCAGAGTAAGACCACTACCCTCAGGAGGTTTCATTCTTATGGGAGTAGATGAACAAGAAATGTAATTGCAGCCAAAGTAAGGTGAGGTACTAAAGTGAAGTGGGGTGAGGACTCCGATGGTCAGAGAAGGCCGCTCAGGCAGAGGACATGATGAGGCAAGCTGAGATCTGGAGAGAGTAGCCTTGTAATCATAGAGAAGGACAAGTGTCCGTGAGGCGGGAAGGACCTTGTTGAGGCCTCCAGTGAAGCTTCCGTGAAGAGGAGAGTGGAAGAGGAGGTCAGGCCGAGAGGACTCGTGTTATTAGGGCGGTAAGAGATGAGGACTTCGGATTTACTTGTCTAACTGAGCTGCCCATTCAGTATGGTGATCTCTGGCCCCATTTGGCTATTGAGCACTTGAAATGTGGCTAGTCCAACTGAGATGTGCTGTTAAGTGTAAAATACACTGGATTTCAGTAACTGAAAAAAGGATGCAAAATATTTCATTAATTTTTTTATTTTGATTACGTGTTGAAATTATAGTTTTGATATTCTGAAGTAATTTGCCTCAATCTGTTTCCTAGGGTAATTTAATAATTATGTTCCTATTTATAATTTGTGGTCAGATTGAAAATGGGATAGGGAGAAGTACTTATCAGCATGTTGAAACATAAGTAACCTATGGATTGTTGAATGCTGTAAAAAGAGTGTCGCTTCTCTGTTATGCGTACTCGATTTATATACATCATTGCTGCTTGTAATCCTTCAGGTTGGAAGCCGGATTGCAGACCGCGTATATGACATAGCTAGGTAAGTGATGATTATCATAATAAAATACAATTTTTTGACTGGAAATTCAAGAGATTGAATGCTGAGAGCTTAATGTATGGCAGAATCTAGAGGAATTTATTACCAGGATTCTCAATGTTAATCACACTCTAAGTCTTTCCTTTATAATATACACATATATATAATATATAGGAGAACAAGTGTTCTTTTTATTTCATTCTTGGAAAAAAAAAAAAAAAAGCACAACTCCTAGCTTCTCTCTGAGCCTGAATGACTGATCCAATTTCATCTGGCCAAAAGCCACTAATGAAAACATTGTGGTTAAATTGTTGGTTAAATTACACCAACATGGGATGAATTTATTACATTTGTCTATAAAAGGAATTTTATAAAATCAAAAACAGTAATTTTTTAGAGATATTCTTGCTACTTAGAATCTTGGTATGAATTAACTTCATAAGGTAAGAAAAAATGCTTCATTGTTACAAATAGTTACCCCCATTTCATCTGTTTTATTAGGAAATGAAACAAATAGTTCTCTACATTTGCTTGGATTTTAGGCCATTTATTAAAAATGAAACATTGAATTTTCTAAGTCAGTATGGATTGTACAGTCTTTGTATGTCTTAGTATGCCTTAGTACTGAGCAAAACATCGTTTACAGAGAGACTTGTGATTATGGCATGTCTTAAACTAACATTAACTCTTTAGAATTAAATCATTAAAAATACCAGTCTAAAAAAAAGTACCAGTGTAAATGTTCTTGAAGTAATGTTCTATTGTTACAAAGTATAGTTTGTATTGTCCACCCTGATCTTTTGTTGATTTTTAAAAACTAGCCCTGCAGATTATTAAATGTCTTATTTGTGGTATCTGAGGTCCACTTAATACTGTTACAACTTATGATAATAATAGCAACTCATAACCAACATTTGTTGAGCATTTGTACTGTGCTAGATACTTTCCATGCACCATTTCATAAAATTCTCTCGAGTGAGGTAGTGACTTTTCCATTTTATGGATGGGGAAACAGATTCAGTAAGATTAAGTCACTTGTCTATGGTCACAGAACCAGTACATTGCTGGCCCAGAATTCTAAGTCACATCTTTCTCATCCCAAAGCTGTGCACTTCAACATGTCACACTGCCTGTGTTCACAGTCAAGATAGTGAGCATTTTGTAAATAAACAGTTCTTTCTCACACCAGTTCTCCAATTGTGTACCGGTGTTCTATATTTTTGACATAGGTTTTTGACAGAAATTGGAAAAGGACTCTTTTGGTTCCAATAGAAAATATGTTATTAATGGATGCAATTTTAAGTTTTCTTGTCACAAATTTTTCTTAAACCTGTGGATGGCCTACACTTAGATGTGTTAACTGGTGTGGTTTAGTATGACATTTATTTAGAGAAGACAACATAGCATAGGGGTAGTAGTTTTGGTTCCAGGATTCAAACTAACTGAATTCAAGTTCTGACTGCTGCTTATTAGTTGAGTGACCTTGGGTTGAGTTACTTTGAGCACATAGCACATTGCTTTGAATCTGGTAAGATTTCAGTAAAAGTTAGCTACTATTTAGTTGGTGTTTTGTTTTGTGTTTAGCTTAACATATTAATAGTTCATGATATTTTACATGATGATTTTAAGTCACCTGTTGCCTCAACAAATTTGAGAAAAAGATAATTAGTAAGTTCTAAATAAGTATGCAGATATTTTCATGTTAATTTACATTAGCTTCTCTTCATTCTTTATTTGGATATATTATCAAATTGAAATACTCCTACCAAATTTGTTCTTTGAATTCATATCTTGGAGCAGCCTCATGGAAAGCTGGTTAACTGTGGGGTCCTGTGAATGTCTGTACCAGACAGACTTGCTCTTTCAATATGTTCTCTGGTAGAAATAGCTTGTGAGGTGACGCAGAAAAGGCAGATAATATAACTTTTTGAAAGTTGTATTCATTAATATGTTTTTATTTAAGAAAAATTACTTCTTAATAACTGTTTTATGGACTGTTATTACAGACGAATCATAACTTCTGTGTCTACTTTTTAGAAAATTTTCCCTTGCTTTGGATGTTGGCTGTGGAAGAGGTTACATAGCACAGCATTTGAATAAGGTATATCTATTCAATGACTTAATTTACTTTAAGAAATAAAATTGGCTAATCTTAAAGTCTTCCTTAATTCAGCTTGTATCATATTTAGATTTTGATTATATCAAAATTGCCAAGTTTTTTTTTTTTTTAATGGCAAACCAATAGTTGTTTTGTGTCTCCTCAAGTATTTTTTTCTTAAAGTGGGTTTTCTTTTTTTTTTTCAATCCATTTTCTATAATGATTCCTACCTATAGTTTAAGTCTATGTAAGATATGTTGCTCTTCATTCCCATTCTGTGCAGATGTTTTTGATACTTCAAATTAAAATCAGATCGACATTCATTTGGAAAATGTGATTGAACTAATTTTTTAGCTGGGAAAAATATTTTATCATTTGATTAGAAATCTTTGTGTATTTATAAGTAGCCATTGTTAAGGCTTATACCATTTTATTTTGCATTTTCTAATTAAGAACATAAAGACATTTATTGTTTTAACCCCTGTATATATGATACTGTGTTGGACACCAATTAAAGTGGGCTTTCTGTGTAAAATCTACTTCGAAAAAGCATACACTTGGGCCGGGGTGGTTGGAGGGGGTTGTGAGAGGCTCCACAAACACAAACAATGCTCAGGCCAGAAAACTTATTCATTGATTCTTCTTGTGTCCTCCCCTCCCACATTGAATCCATCAGCAAATTTTATTTGGATTTCAAAATATATCCCTAACTACTACTTCTTACCACTTTCACTATTATCATATTGGTCTACACTGCAGTAGCCCCTTAATGACCTCCCTGCTTCTACCTTTGCCCCCAGTAGTCCATTCTCACAGCAAAGTAATCCTTTTAAAGCACAGGTCAGTTCATTGCCAGTCCTCTGCTCAGAACTTTTGGCTTCTTATCTAACTCAGTAATAAGCCAGTCTTAATCCATAAGGCCCTCAGTGATCTGGCTCCCTAACATGTCCCTGACCTCATTTCCTTCTCCTCATTCCTTACTTTTCAGCAATCCTGACCTCAGTGACTCTCAAACTGGCCAGGGCTTTGCATTATAGTTGTTCTTGTGTTCTTCCCTAAGATATCTGTGGGGCTTACTTCCTCGCCTCTTTCAGGTCTTTGCTTAAATGACCCCTCATCAAAAATTCCTTCCCCGACCATTCTATAAAATAAGGTCCCCATTCTCCGCTGGGTATTTGCCTTATTTGTTTCCACAGCACTTTTTAGCACCTGATGTGTTTGTTTATTTGGTGTCTGTCTTCTCTTAGGGAATGTAAACTCCATACACTTGCTCGTTTTTGGTCACTGCTAAATTCCTAGTACCTAGAATACACAATGAAGATTTATTAAATGAACATTACATGAATAAATACAAAGTAACTTTGAAGTTATTCCCTCACTGACTGGAAAAAGTCAGGGGATGTGGTGGGGCAAGGAGCACAGGCTATTCCTGTTTTAGATTTGCTGAGTTTGAGGTAATAGTGGACTATATTAGTGTTAATGTCTGACAGGTAGTTGGAAATGTGTACTTGGAATTGGGGTGTTGAGGTTAAGAGCATTGCCTTGAACTTGGGCAGATAGGGATTTCAAATTTAGCTCTGCCACTTGGCAGTTGCGCTTGGGTAGTCAGCAGTGGCCAGGTAATGATAGGGTATCCTTTCAAGTTGTGGCCAGGAGGTTCTTTAAGAAGGGGGTGTGCATGAAGTGGAAAGGGTTGGCTTCTTTAACAGAGGAGGGGAGGACTACAACAGAGCTGGACTTCAGACAGGTCAAGTGAAATAGGACTTGAGAGGAGACACACTGTTGTAGTTGATTAGGTTGTTAGTAATCTTTATAAATAGCATGAGCAGGGAGAGTAGGAATAGACATCAAGAATTAAGGAGAAAGACATTGGTGAGAATTAGAGTTGCAGATTGCAGACAGAACAACCAGAAGGTAGTTAGAGGTGAGGAGATCTTTCCAGATTGGGAGGCTCATGACTGTTTCGAGGTGAGGGAAAGAGACACAGAAGAGATAGATGAAAGATTTGATAGAGATGGTGATGGAGGGAGCAGGATCCTGTAGAAAAGAGCATAGTGGAAAGTGTCAGTCTTAGGAAAGAAGTGGTGCAGTGCTTTTTCCTTTTGGAAAGAAGAGGGGAGACATGAAACAGGGAAAATGAAACCAGCGAACCCCTATACCCCCCCCCCCCCCCCCCCCCCCCCCGCCCTGCTCCCAAGTATCTGTGTTTATTAAGTCTTTTCTTTACTCTGTGTAAACTCTTTGAATGAACAGCTAAAAGAGGGAGGAAAACTATCCAGGACTTCTGTGGCCCAGGAGCGGGGACCAGTTCTCAGCACACATAAGTCTTAATCCTCTGGAGTAAACTCAGGATGTTGATTACTCACACCTGGATTGTGTATTTTATTAAGTATAGTTAAATGTATTAAATATAGGCATGGTTGTTTAAATTTAAATCTGTGTAACTTACTATGTGTGATTAAAGCTAGTTGTGTACTATACTGGTTTTACTGCAGGAAAATACCCTTACAAAGCTAAAAATTTACCTACGAATTATCACTTTCTCCTTGAGCAATTTCAGTAGTTATTTTGTTTTGTTAGTAGGCTTTTGTTTTGTATTATCTAATTAATTTTATTCCATTGCAGGAAACTGTTGGAAAGTTCTTCCAAGTAGACATTGCAGAAAATGCGTTGGTAGGTAGCTTTTTAACACTATTGATTTCTGATCTCTTGGTTTTATTTTTAGTTCTTTATTTTTATTTCCTTCAAAATGAAAATAGCTTTATTGTTTTTTTTCTGATTATAAATATAACACATAAAAAAATTAGACAATGGAGGAAATAGAAAGGAGAAGAAAATATCACCCCTGGTCCCCACCATTCAGGGACAACCACTGTTGACATTTGGGTCTCCACCTTTGCAGATGTATAGCTATCTCTACAATTTTATACAAATGATATAATGATAACATGCCGTGCTTTTCACAGGATATCATTCTTTTATATCAACAAATGATATACATACATACATACATACAAATTCCACCTTTTAAAATGACTAGATAGTATTCTAATATAAGAATATTCCATGGTTTATTTGGCTAAATTTCTATTGAAGGACAGTTATATTTCTAGTTTCTTAATAACCAACACTGGGAAGAACATCCTTATACAAAGAAACTTTGTACATTTGATTTATTTTTCTCTCTGGGAATAAATTCCTAGTAGTGGAATTTATGAACTCATCGATGTTCATCTTTAAATTTTTTATATACATCTCCAGACTGCCGTTAGAAAGATATAATATTGTATGAAAGCACTTTTTTCTCCTGTTTGGCAGCACTGAGCCAATGGATTCTGTCTTTGTCAGTTTAATAGGCAGAAAGTAGAATCTTACTGATATTTTTATTTGCACTTTGATTATGAATGCAGCCAACCGGCTGTTGATGTCTTTTGGCTATTGGTATTTCTTAATTTGTGAATTTGTAAGTAGTTTTGTGATGTGCCTGTACCTGCATTGTTGCCTTAGCATGTTCTTATTGTGGGGAGTTTGTAAGAGTTTGTTTTGCAGGGATATTAATTTCATCATCTGTGTTGTAAATATTTCCCAAAGTGTGTTGTTTACATTGTTTATGGGTTTTTAGAAGTTTTTGATTGGTTTATCATCATGTAGATTAGTCTTTTCCTTTATAGTTTCTGGCTTTTGAGTTATGCTTGCTTAAAATGTTTCCACCTAAGAGTATGAAAATGTTCACCCCTATTTTTGTCTATTACTTTTATGGCTTAAGTTATGCCACTGAAACTTTCAGCCTTCTGAGATTTGTTTTAGTGTGAGAGAGGATCCTTTTTATGTTTTTCCACCTAGCCAGTTTGTGTCATTTAAGAAACACTTCTTGAGCTTCTCTGTGACTCTGGTTTTAAAAGGGATAGAAACTGCCAAATAAATATAACGTTGACTTAAATAATGATTGTATTAGTAATTGACATTCTATATGAATGTGTTTATTTTTTAATCACTAGAAAAATACCTTAGAAATGGAAATCCCTACTGTCAGTGTTTTAGCTGATGAAGAGTTCCTTCCCTTCAGAGAAAATACATTTGACCTGGTAGTTAGCAGCTTAAGGTTGGTAATCTGTTTGTACTTTTTCAAAATGTATGTTTTAAATAGGTAATTCGTGCTATAAAATTTTAATTGTTATGAGATAAATAAAATAGCTAATAGAGCAAGTTTTTTTTTTTTTTTTTTTTTTTTTTTTTTTTTTTTTTGTAATGTTTATTTATTTTGAGGTGGGGAAGAGACGGAGAGAGAGGGAGAGAGAATCCCAAGTAGGCTCTGTGCTGTTAGCGTGAAGCCAACACAGGGCTCAGTCCCACAGTGAGGTCGTGACCTGAGTGGAAATCAAAAGTTGGCTGCCCAACCTACTGAGCCATCCAGGCACCCCGGAGTAAATTCTTAATAACCTTTTTTAAAGTCACAAACCAGTTTTCTTGGTTTATAAACAATAAGATTTCTTTGGTAAAGAATTATAAATTATATACTCCCTAGTGGAGATAATATGATATAGTATCTTAACTTTTTTCTCCCCAACTTTTTTCAGCTTGCTAAAGCTAATCTATGATAGATTAGCTATCTATCTATGATATCATAGCTTCTATCTATGATAGAAGGATTTTCCTTCCTAATACACGTTACTTAGTATCAATATTAATGGAGGCAGGAGTTGTAAAGAATATACTGGCTCCAATATTCAAACGTTAGAGCCCTTACAAACTCATTCTGGCAAATAGGGAAAAGCTAGTATTTCCTTCAGCATCAGTTTTTCTTCCACACAGAAATATAGTCCCGAAGGTTTTATTTTTTCCATTTGTGCTTCCTACTGTGGCCCTCCACATTTATTACATAAATATATAAATACTTATTGAATAGATTATAATATACTAGGCTCTGGCTAGATTCTTTTGGGGAATACAAAAATGAACCCAGACAGAGATCCTGCCCTCAAAGAACTCAGAGTCTAATAGAGAAATTAAATATTCCTTTTATTTAAGACTTTTTTTTTTTTTTTTTCCAGTAATCTCTGTACCTACTGGGGGGCTTGAACTCACAGATGCTCCACCAACTGAGCCAGCCAGGTGCCCCCAAAATAAAATGTTCTTACTTCCCCTGTCTTGTTTTATAGTCATATTTTCTTTCAAAGATTCAACATGCTCTTCATGTCAGCACAGCCCTTTTGATAGCTGTTTTTAGGGTGACCAGTCACCCAAGACTTTGCCAGTGTTAACACTGGAAAGGCTTATGTCCCAGGAATCTCTCAGCCTGAAACAAATTGGGAGAGTTGCATGCACTCTTGCTGTTTTCTTCAGTGAGTTTATAATCTCTTCCCTGCTTCTTAAGATATGCTAAACAAATTTAGAAAAGTATTTGCATTCTATCATGAAATGAAAAATATTACAGAGAATGTTGGTCTAAGGAAAACAGCCCTGGGCAGGGAGTCTGAATGTGAGTTTTAGCTCCTCTGCTTGCTGTTTGCAAGTGCCTAATTCCATTGCTTTCAGTTTCCCCATAAGTATGATAGACCTTATGATATGGTATGACCTTCTTAATTTTTAAAGTATCTAATAATTGTTAGACAACATTATGAAAGATAAATGTGAGCTTAACACAGTATGGTTTGAAATGGGCATTCAGTGCTATCCTGGAAGTCAGCATAAGAGGATACCACCTTAGTCAAGACAGTGTGACCACACTCTACAGAGACTGATTCTTGCCGCCACATATCACCACACACTGGGAGATGGTGAATAGAGGCAAAAGAAAATGGAAGAGATTTCCTAAATTAAGTTTTAAATACTTTATAGTATTATAGTACTGTCACATTTTCTAATGTAACAGAAGGAAGGTTTTCCCCTGGGAATATTCTTTGCTTTAAAACTTATATGAAAATAATCAGTGAATTTTGATATGCAGTTTCAGACTTCAAAATTAACACCTTTTGTTGTGGCTTTTCTTTATATGAGTGATAATTACACTGATTATATGAATTAAGCTAAAGCAAACATGTTTTCATATTCTAGTTTACACTGGGTGAATGACCTTCCTAGAGCACTTGAACAGGTAAGAAACTTAATGTTGACTCCAATAGGCTGTGTTATTATTAGAAACTTCTAAATATTTCTGTTTTTACTAGAAACTTCCAGATGTTTTCCATTTTATACTTCTGATGATTGGAAATGAAAGTAAATCAAGTATTTATTATCTTCTATGGGCCAAATACACCTGATACCCTTTGGCATATTGAGAAGTACATTGCGTGAGCACCTGGGTGTCTCAGTCGGTTCAGCATCTGACTTTTGATTTCTGCTTAGGTTGTGATCTTGCCGTTCGTGAAATCAAGCCCCATGTCGGGCTCTGGGCTGACAGCGCAGAGCCTGCTTGGGATTCTCTCTGTCTCTCTGTCTCTGTCTCTCTGTCTCTCTCTCTCTCTCCCCTCTCCCCTGCTCATGCTGTCTCTCAGAATAGAATGAGATGAGATGAGATGAGATGAGATGAGATGAGATGAGATGAGATGAGATGAGATGAGATGAGATGAAATGAAATGAAGAAGTACATTGGGTGACTCCCCCCTGCCTAGGAATTCAATGAATCTAATTATGAAATGTTTTAAATATTTACAAAAGCTTATATATTGTCCAGAATAACTTTGAATAGTATTGACATCACATTGATATCAGACATTTTCTGTGTGGGTTCCTTTTCTTAATTGTCTGTAAGTTTTTTCTGTGGGTAGGAACCTATTTGTTTTTATTTATATCTTCCCTACACCTTACACTTAGTGTGAGGTACATTTGTTGCTTGGCATTTATCAGTGAACTGCTGAGTAAAGAGCATTGTGTTCAGAGGAGGGAAATCACTGGGCCATGGAGTAGCCGAGGAAAGTTTCAGGAAGAGGGAATTACTTGAGCAGGGCCTTGGAGCATAGATCAGATTTGGGGTGGGAAGGCAGAATCACAGGATGGGGGGAGGTAGAACAGCCTCACGAGGATGAAAGGACAGAGAGGGAGCCTTTTTGGAGATTAGTTTAGTACTGGGAAATGAGGTATGTTGGGACCAAATTTAGGAAGACTTGGGTAACAGATTAAGGAATTTAGAGTTCATTCCTTATGCAGTTCAGAGCCACTGGAGAATTTTGAAGAGGAAAGTAACATAATTAAAAGGCTGATGGGCAGGATAACTTCCATATCGTAAGCACATACTGTTTGCCGATCACTGTGCCTTGTTTTATATGTGTTAAATAAATAACTCTGTAAGATGTTTTCATTTTGCTAGTTGGAAAACTGATGCCAGAAGTTGGTTCAATTAAAGAGGCTTCTTCTGTCATCCAGGCATGAGAGAAACTAAAGCTAGGTGGCAGTAGCAGGAATTAACAGGAATAGAGACTATTTGGGACTCCTGTAAAGGAGGAGTCAACTATTTGGCTGGTTGTATCTGAAGATCCAACCTTAAAGTTTTGAATCTGGATGCCTGGGAAAATGATTAGTAAAAGTAGGGGAAGGATTGGTAATGATCAGATAAAGAGAATGGAAAATAGTAATTGACAGAAATAGGCAGTTGGAGAGGGGAGTGGGTTTGAGAATAAGTGTTATGTATTTGTTGGTTGTGTTGGGAGGGTGAGTGCCAAGAGACACATGTCCATGGCACAGGCAGATGAAAATAAGTTTAGCACATTTCTGGGAAGATGTCCAGTCTAAAGATAGTGATTGGGAAGTCATCCTTGTGAAATCCATGGGAATTGATAAGCCCTCTGAAGTAGAGAGAAGCTGCAGGGAGCTGAGGAGGGAATCTTTGATACTTGCTAGGCGACAAGAGAAGGAAGCAACACCAAAGGGGCAGAGGGTAAGAAAGCAAAGATTTTACAGTTGGTTTACTTGTATACTGTTTTGTAATTGTTTCATGATATATTAAATATAAATTTAAGATGGGTACTTTGATTAGCAGAGCCTACTGTGATTTTTGGGTTTACTTCAGAATCAACCCTTTCCTGTAATGTTCCTCATTGTTGAGAATAGAGTCAAATCTATTTATGGATGGTAATTCTAAGAGTCAGTGAGTAAACATTTGTGGTTCTGGAATCCATTCCAACCACTGTTTTGCTTAAGTTATCAATTAAAAGTTGTTTTTGTTTCAAAGCTGGAAAATGAGTTAGTTACTTCTCATTACAGGAAACTAATATTTGACTAGGTTAATGTTGTGAATCATAAAACTTTCTGTTTAAATTAGCTTTTTTGCATAATAGGCTATTCCAACTTAGTGGTTTAAAACAACAGTTTACTTAGTTCATGTTCTGGTGGGCTGGGAATTTGGATTGGCCTTAGTTAGGAAATACTTCTGGGTCTGGCCAGGCTTACGCATGTGTCTGTGATCAGCTGCTAGATTGTCCTGAAGCTGGCTGGTCAAGAATGGCCATAGCTGGAATGCCTGACTGAGATCTGCTCCTCCTATCTCTTATCCCTTACCAGGCTAGCTCATTCAGGCTTGTTTATGACATGGTGGCAGCACAGGGAATCCTGTAAGGCCATCTCAGACCTTGGTGTGACACTGGCACACTGTCAGTTGCACTGCATTCTTTTGGCCACAGCAAGTCATGAGGCTGTCCCAGATTCAGGGAGAGGGGAAATAGACTTTGTCTTTTGATGGGAGTTGTTACAAAGTGACATTTAAAGGGCACAGATAGAGGTTTGTGATTTTTGCAATCTATTGCACTTTAAACTTTTTTTCTTTCAGTATTTTTCTGATTATAAAAGTAACTGTGGGGTGCCTGAGTGGTTCAGTCGGTTAAGTATCCAACTCTTGATTTCGTCTCAGGTCATGATCTCACAGTTTGTGGAACCGACCCTGAGTCAGGCTCTGTACTGACAGCACTGAGCCTGCTTAGGATTCTCCCCTTCTCTTTCTGTTCCTCTCCCACATGTGTGCTCACTCACGTGCTCTCTCTCTGAGAATAAGTAAATAAACTTAAAATAGTTACAAAAGGGGGCGCCTGGGTGGCGCAGTCGGTTAAGCGTCGGACTTCAGCCAGGTCACGATCTCGCGGTCCGTGAGTTCGAGCCCCGCGTCAGGCTCTGGGCTGATGGCTCGGAGCCTGGAGCCTGTTTCCGATTCTGTGTCTCCCTCTCTCTCTGCCCCTCCCCCGTTCATGCTCTGTCTCTCTCTGTCCCAAAAATAAATAAATGTTGAAAAAAAAAAATTAAAAAAAAAATAGTTACAAAAGTAATATATGTCTATTAGAAAAGTTGAAAACATAGAACATATTTTGTAGGTATTAATGCTATCAACTAATTATTAATATCAATAGGTATTAATACTACCAATAAATTATTGTCTATCTTTACAGTAATATTATACTACAGTGCTTCTCTGACCTGGATGCCTTAGATATTATTTATTAACTTTTCTGATTATTTGACGAAATAAGAATGGTAATCGTAAAAATATTGATTCAGACACCACGTATTTATTCTTTTAACGTATTTTTATCCTTTTAATAATTTTTTGTATAAAATTTTGAGTAGTTTTGTTGTCTTGTGTTTATTACAGATTCATTATGTTTTAAAACCAGATGGAGTGTTTATTGGTGCAATGTTTGGAGGCGACACACTCTATGAACTTCGGTGTTCGTTACAGTTAGCAGAAACAGAAAGGGAAGGAGGATTTTCTCCACATGTTTCTCCTTTCACTGCTGTCAATGACCTAGGACATCTGCTTGGGAGAGCTGGCTTTAATACACTGACTGTGGTAACTATCAAGAGAGTTGATTAATTCTCATTAACCCATTAATCACACAGTTCAGAAAGAACTTCTCATCTTAAAGATAGAAAATTATAGGTATTGATGGTATTATGGAAAGGTTTTGGCATTTTTTCTCTTTTTAAATTTAGTTTATATAAACATATCTTGACTGACACAGGTACAAACAAAATTTTTGGTACTTGTTACCTGAATAAATAAAATAGCTCAAAAAAACCCGAACCTCAGTTAACAAGGAGGTTATTTTCTAAGACCTGTTATTCCAGTGCATTAGAATCTTCAGATCTAGAGTAACGTGTAATATGAGGGAACATTTTAGGTGATTGGGAAAAGGGGAGGTACAGGAGCACTTACAGTGTTGCATCTCCCACTGGCCCTCAACTGAAATAGTGCCACACAAGGCAGAAATGAAGGTATCTTTATTCATGATCCAGGGTAGAGGATGTAGGAAAGGGGGCTGCACTCCATTAGGGCTGGAGAGATCTGGAAAGAGGACCTGTAGGCTGTTAGAAGAAATATGGAGTCAGCACAGTACAGTGATGCTACAGGGCATTGGTGTCTGACAGTTATAATTTGGTTCCTTACTTTGCCCCGTTACTAGGTAGGGGAATCAGGGGGTGGGGGGTTACTTCACGTCTCTGAACATTCATTATTTTTTTAAAAATTCAAATGTTTCTCACCTGAGGTTGGATGTTAGTATTAAGATAAAGGGTGTGAAGTGCCTTGACCATAGTAGGTGCTAAGTAAATATTTGCTCCTGCCTTCCTGTCTCCCCACCCATACTCCTTGCACTTTGCCATCCTAGGCTTGCAACTAGGAGTCATGTGGAAAGACAGTGGTTGCCCCCTTCCAGCTCCTTTCATTAGCAGAGTCATTCTAAAGGATGTCATTGCTGCCTCCAGATATCGGTTGAGTAGACTTGTTATGATTTTCCTAACTGCTCAGCTCTAGACACATCTCTTTCCTGGAGGAAATAGGAATTTCTTGACAAAGATTTCTCATTGATGATAGATTTAAGATTGAAATAACTGTTTAAGGAGATTTAATGTGAGTATTTTTCATAAAATCAACCAACGAGAAATAGATTGCCCTGTCCTTCCTTGTTTTGGTAGAAAGCATGGGGCATTAGACCAGTAGGGTCTCTGAAGTTGGAAAGGCGCTTCAAGGGAAGGGAAGAGACAGTACATTAGGAAATGACAGCAACTTTCAGGATTTCACAGCTGTACAGCTGTGTCTTATGTAAACTGTTAATGGCCTGAGTCAGAAGATACTGCATTCTGAGATGTTGGCAGCTGGAAGTGGGATAGCTCTGCCTCACGTGAGGGTTCTGCTTTGTAATTAAAGCAAACACTGGCAATTGTACATAGAGGGATCACTGTATATTTTTTAATTATGTAAGTAGTAATACATACATTTTAAACATTAAACTGTACAGATAAAGTGATAGTCTGTCATTTGCCCTTAATCTCCCAAATCTTAGCTCTCTCCTGAGAGTAACAGTTTTCAAAATTTTGGTCCTAGGACCTCGCTACACACTTAAAATTATTGAGGACCTTAGAGAGTTTTTGTTATGTGGGTTATATCTATCAATATTAACCATATTAGAAATGGAAACTGAATTTTGGTATTTAATAATATGTTTAAAACTAACAATAGTCTGCCTATTATATGTTATCATAAATAACTTGTGTTTTGTTGGGGGAGAAAGAAACTATTTTCCCAAAGAAAATAAATTAGAAGAATATCATTGCTTTTCATTTTTACAAATTTCTTTAACGTATGGCATGATGAAAGAGCACTAGATTCTCATGTCTGCTTCTGCAGTCATGAGACTGTCTATTAGAATATCACATATCATGTAACTTACGAAGAATCTGTTGTACTCGTGAGAGGCTGAGAGGTGAAAAAGCCAAATAGCATCTTAGTATTATTTTAAGAATAATTCTGACTTTGTGGGCCCCCAAAAGTGTGCTGCCTTGTGGTTTTGTATGGTTGTAAAGTGGATTGTGTATTTTAGAAAGATTTCTACCAGAAATGTTTAACCTAACATTAAAGCATTTAAAATCCTACACTTCTGTTAATTGGGAAATCTATTACGGAAATATCCTGTATATTCTTCTCTGAAAAATGAGCTGAATAACTCAAACACTAAGATAATACAAAAATACTGGTGTGGAATCTTCTTTATGGTTTATAAAATTAAGAGAGTTGCTGATTAATAATAAATCTATCCAAATTTGTTCCTTGAGAAACATACACCGTCTCTAATGTGCTGTATTAACATTATATCATAATTCATTTTCTAAAAATCCCATCCCCCAAAGCTTTTATATATTATCAGCTAGGCAGTTTTATATTGCATACAACATTAGGCATATTATTTTTACACTGTGATGGATTTTTATTTTCAAGTTAAATCAGTATTGCCTGTCTACCTTTATATGACTTTCTTAGTGAATTATTTTCAGAGTTAGTTGACATTCTGAATGAGGCTCATTTCCTTTTAGAGTTGCCAGTTTAATATATTATAATAATATATTAGGAGAAAACTACAGATATGGTCCATCTTAATTTGAATAAGGACTTTGACAAAGCTATTGTATTCTTTTGATGGAGATGGAGATAATGCTTTTAGTTTCATTGAAAGATTGTTTTCAAAGGATATTGCTTAATGGCTAGGTATCAGGCTGGAAGGAATTTTTTTTTTTAATCTTATGATCTCATAAAATAGTTTCTAAATGTAGAAAAAGATAGAGAAGAAATTGACTACCCAGAGATGGTGTTATTAAAAAGTGCACATACAACATGATCATGCATATGTTAGCAAGAAAAAGGAAGTAAAAAAATGTATAGATAAAGAGAATGAGATAAACACAGCAGGTCTAAAGTGGAAAGAAATCTCCTTTTCCTGACTTCAGATACTTGGTCACTCACCCCAAAGATGATCTTTGTTGTCTTGTATACACTTTCAGAACAATTTTTCATCATAGGCCACAATACAATTATGTCATTTAAACCTACATATACAACCATATGTACACTCTGTTGGGGCACCTGGGTGGCTCATTTGGTTAAGTGTCCGTCTTTAGCTCAGGTCATGATCTCACAGTTTTTTGAGTTCAAGCCCTGCGTCGGGCTCTGTGCTAACAGCTCAGAGCCTGGAGTGTACTTCCGATTCTGTGTCTCCCTCTCTCTCTCTGCCTCTCCCCTACTCGCCCTTTCTTTCTCAGAAATAAATAAACATTAAAAAAAAATAAAATATACACTCTGTTGCTTTTTTTCGTATAAGCACTCTTTGAGGTTTTTTAGTCAATAGTGTATCTTACGAGATCTCCCCCTACACGTATCCACCGTATCTACCGCTTTTTTTTACCAGCTGTATAGTATTTCATTAAATAGATACAATTTATATAGCCAGTTCTCTATTAATAGACATTTAGATTGTTTCCAGTTAGTTTTTTGTTTTGTTGCTATTTCAAACAATGCTGCAGTGAATATCCTTTCACATAATCTTGGCATATCTCCAGGTTAATTTCTGGCAATGGAATTGCTGGGTCAGAGATCTGTACATTGAAATTTTGACAGATAGGGTCAAATGATTCTCTAAAAGTAACATCAATTTATATGCCCCATCAACAGTATATGTGAACCCTTGCTTGTACTTTGTTTTCTATTTCTGAGGTTAAAAAAAATGTTCTTTTATTTTGCATTTCTCTGGGAATTAGAGTGGATGTTTTTGATAAGTGTTCTTTTGGGCTGTGTACTTAATTCTGTGTAATGTTAAAGTCCAAAATTGGCAGGAATAATTAACACATTAAATAGAATGACAAAACACAAAAAATGACACTCCAAAGTGATTAGTGCAAATAAGTTGAAGTTTGAGATATATGCTGCGTTATGATACTAAACTTGGGGAAAAAAAAAAAAAGTATGAGTCCTGTATTTGGGGGCTAATTCCCAATACAGACAAACTCCTATACCTTCATGCGTACACAGATTTTTATCACATTACAGCCCTGTGCTGATTGGGCAGCCCATCTCTATCCCATGGTTGTGCCATCTGGCTCTTGCATCTTCTGAGGTTACCACAGCAAAAGGGATGGCTTGGAAAAGGATCATTAGTTCTCTACTACCTTGCTCTCTTCTTTGACCAGAAAAAAATGTCTTTCAGGGTCTGGGAGGTATCAAGGAGCACCGGACATTTGGGGAACATCAGTACTCTCTGCCACTGTACCAGTCAGTAGTAAACTTGTGTATCAAGCTTCAGAAAGAATGGGACGTAATGTCCCAGAAGTCCATTTGAGAAATAAACTTGGTGTCAGTGGTGTGCCTGACATTCAAGTGAGCCATTGCAGTATGACTGCATTGCTAGAGGTAGATTGAAGACATCTTGAGAGATGACCCTACTTGGCTTGATTCTGGTGCCACATTTTAGGAGATTGATATTGACTACGTATAGAGCAATGCAGTAAGGATGTGTAAAGATCTATAAATCTATAAATTTTGTCCAGAGGACTAACCCCTCCCCCTAAAAAATTACAATGTCCTGGAAGAGTTTTCAGAAACTTGAAGAAGGCGATGGTTTGCAGATACAAAACAGACTTTTTTTGTGTTGTTCCCAGGGAGAGACCTGGAACCAGTTGATGGAGTGTTAGGAAAATTTCTCTTAGAATAGTGACGAATTATTCTGTAATTTGACCATTTGATAAAACAAGCATAAACCAGATGACATCTGTGAAGAATATTGTAAACAAAAGTTTCTGTTTACCATGAAACATTGTTCTGGGTAATTTCTATGACCTGTTTTTAAATCTGGGTTTAGTGATATATGTCAAATGAATATTCCTTTTTCTTTTTAAATAGGATACTGATGAAATTCAAGTTAACTATCCTGGGATGTTTGAATTGATGGAAGATTTACAAGGTAAGGCACTTTAAAGAATGTTTAGATTCCATTTGAGAGTCATATTTCGAGAAGAGACTCTTGACGGGCACAGGGGCTAACCACTAGGGATAGATTGGTAAGGAGAAAGGAGACTATCTTCATGGAGCTTATAAAATAAAATGGGTGAGGCAGACATCACACAACTGCCATGAAGATAAATGTTAAATTAGAATCCTGGTAAGAGCCACAAATTGGGGTGCAGAGTGCTATGACTGCCTATAAAATGATGGTGGGACTTTCTTGAAGCATACACCTGAGGCTGGTAGAGCATATCGGTGATTTTCTCCAGCAACAGTTGGCAGCCTGGATCCAGGCACAAGAAAGCGGGTAGTTGGGTTAGTGTACGAGTGGGATTTGTCAAAAGGGTAAGTCCTTGTCTGAGAGAGTCAATGAAGTCTTGTCTGAGGAAGTGGTGATTGTGCTCTAGAAAATGAAGATGAGTTAACTAGGTGGAGAGGGGCACGGCAGTGGGTCACAGGCTGGGAGAACTGCATGTACAAAGACTCTGGGGCAAGAAAGAGCATGGCAAGTACTGAAAGGGTATTTGGCTAGAGTGCAGGGAATGAAAAGAGAATTAAATAATGAAATTGGTGAGTAAATGGGGGCCTTACAGTCCCTGTTGAGATGATTTGTCTTTATCTTAAAATGCCCCTTGAGGCATTTAAAAAAAATTTTTTTTTGTTTATTTTGAGAGAGACAGCACAGCAGGGGAGGGGCAGAGACAAGGAGAGACGGAATCCCAAGCAGACTCTGTGCTGTCAGCACAGAATCTGACGTGGGGCTTGAACTCACGAACCCTGAGATCATGACCTGAGCCGAGATCAAGAGTCGGATGCTTAACCGACTAAGCCACCCAGGCACCCCTTGAGGCATTTTAATGGAAGGGAGGTAAAGGGAAGTGATGATACCGGATTTGCATTTTGAAAGAAAATGGACTGGCAGATAAACTGGTTGAGAGAGACTCATTGCTATAAAGATTATTAAGAAATGATGGTGGACGTGCCTGGGTGGCCCAGTGAGTTATGCGTCTGACTCTTGATTTTGGCTCAGTTTATGATCTCACGGTTTGTGAGATGACAGCATGGAGTCTGCTTGGGATTGTCTCTCTCCTCTCTGCCCCTCCCCCTGCTCACATGTGCTCTCTCTCTCTCTCCCCCCCTCAAAATAAATATTAAAAAAAATAGAAATGATGGTGATTTGGACTAAGGTGGTAGCAGTGGAGATTGAGAGAAGTAAATGGATTCTAGAGATAATTAGGAGGTAAATTTGACAGTCCTTGCTGATGGATTACATGTGGGTGAGTGGGGAGAGCTATTTCAAACACAACTGCTGAGTTTCTGGCTCACATAACCAGAGAGATGGTGCCCCTTCCTTGATAGAGGAAACAGTAGAAGACCAAGTATGGGCAGGGACACCTCTTAAGTTCACACGTGACTATTTTGGGTTTGAAGTGCTTGTGAAATATCTAAGAGGAGATGTCAAGTAGGTGGTTGGTGTGTGGATATGTGGTTTAGAGGAGGCAATTGCCTAGTTAAAATATGAGTCATTTGTGAATTGGTGGTATTTGAAGCACTTGCCTGGGATGAGGCCATGAAGTGAGAAGAGAACACAGCCAGATGCTGATCCTTCAGGAACCTAATGTGCAGTGACTACAGAAAAGGGACATGTCTGGACATGTTACAGATGTGATGGCAGAGGCAGAGTAATGGAGAACCATTAGTGGGGGAGTGGACTAAAATACCTTAAAGACCATGGTACTGGTGATTATTAGCAATGAACTCACCCAGGGTCATGGCAGGATTTGGGGTACAGACAGGAGCTGAACCAGGTGCCAAACCCTCAGATTGTTGAGGAGAAGGACTGGGAGTCTGACGTCTGACAGCAAGCAAAAGTGGGAAAGAGGGATGGCTAAATAGTGCGGGTCTCAGCAGGGCAACGGTTTTTAACAAGTTAGAGGGGTAATGGCCTGGAGGAGGCTTTGAGGAGCAACAAGGATACAAACCCTATCTCTGCATCCCGAAATAGATAAGGTAGGTAGACATACATATCTGCCACTGAGGGTGCTTCTGGAAAACTGCTTTTCTCCAAGGAAAGCTTCAACTTGCCTAAGAAATTGTGAGCTTTGGCTTTTTATTACACAATTGGCATAGGCAGTTTTGATGAATGAGAGAAGCTGAAGCAATTAAAAACTTTTAATCTTTGAAACCAGAACTCTGCTTACCTACAGGCACTTTAATCCGGTCCTGAAAAATGAGAAGATGATTTAAGCAGGAGAATTGTAAGGATAAGTAGCTTGCAATTGTTTACAGATTTATAGTTGTTCTGACATGTTGTTGCAGTTCTCTCAGTAGTCCTCTGCTAACTAGTGTATCCCTAGATTATAAGTGAGGAATATTAGTCCCAAGGGGACACTTGTCTGTTAGTGGCAGAATTAGATGCCAGACTCTTGCTCTGGCACTCTCTTACCTGACTCTACTACTGCTTTTGTCTACCCATTTGTAACACAGTTCATTTTACCCATCATCCAGCCTCCTCTGGGAATGGGACTTCTGATGGCTTTACAAGGGGAAAGATATGTAGCCAAAAACTTACTATTAGAGTCACTCTTCATTCATTATAATTTAATACAGGGATTGGTAGCCTATAGCATGCATGCCTAAGATGACAGGGGACCAGTATAAATCACACATCCCCTCCCAAGCACTGCCCCAAGCACTTGGCTCCCCATGATGTAATCATGGGGCTCCTTCATCTCAAAGGCTTGAGTGTTGGTGGTGGGCTGATGATGTATCATTCAGACTCTAATGATAAAAATATTTCTCAAATGCAGCATTTACTTTTATTCTGCTATATAATAAATACTGTGCTCACGATTCATTTTAAGAGAGAAGCAAGAGAGACTAGAAATTAGATGTATCAGTTGGAAAAGGTTACTGCCCACTGGTTTAAAAATACAGAAGTTACTCTGTGCTGGGTGCGGTTCTGTGAGGTTTTCTGATATCCTAATTTTACAGATTGGCAAATGGAGACATTGTGAAGTTAAGTATCTTGTCTGTGGTCACACGGGATCTGGAATCCAAAGTCCAATACTGCCTACTTGATCTGCGTGCTTTTTTTTTCCATTAAATCTAGCATAGTAAAATGCTCTCATCTCAACTGTATAGTTACTCATATTTTTATTCACTATCCAGACAAGGACTAGAACATTTCCAGCCCTCTCAGAAGGTTGCCCGATGCTGCTACCCAGTTGATAGTCACTGCTTCCCCCCAGAGTTTTAAATAGGTCATATATTTTGAGGACCTCTTGCCTAATATTTACCTTAAGAGGCTTTTGCCAGTGCTGCTTTAATTTTTGCTGTACAGTCTTGTACATAAATCGTATATTTTAATCTTTGAGTCTCTTATCCTTAGGAGGATTAAGAAGTATTATCCAAAGATAACTTGTAAAAGTGATATTTAACAAAGTAGATATGAACGTTAGCTGGTTGATATTATATTCATTCACTTACCATTTACGAACATCTACCATGTGCCAGCTATTGAGTCAGTGATGAAAATACATAGTTCCTTATCTCGGGGAGCCTGTGCTCTGGTAGACACACAGATAGAGAGACAAACCTAGGCATTTAACTATAAAATGAGATCATTGTGTTTTAAAGTATGGAAAAATGGAATCCCTAAATCTGCTTAGGGAGTCAGGGGTACTTTTGTAGAAGAGACAGGAACTAAGCTAAAATGAGTTTGCCAGGAGAATGGATGGGTGGGTGCAGGTTTGGGCATTTGGGGCATTGCCTTCCAGGCCACGGAAATGGTCTGTGTAAAATGGAGATGCAAGAGGAAAACACACTTCTTTCACTTTCCTAATTAAGAAACTCCACAGTAATTCTGTTTTGCTTGAATATGTAGAATGGAGAGATGATGGGAAATGATGAAGAATAGTCCACCAGAGGCTTCTAGATTTTATCAGGTGAGACTGGTAGTGTGTGGGGAGAATTTCATGCAGAGGAGAGACCATCAGATCAGTGTGTTAAAAAGCTCATCTTCCAGGGACGCCTGGGTGGCTCAGTCGGTTAAACGTCCAACTTCGGCTCAGGTTGTGATCTCACAGTTCACGAGTTCGAGCCCCATGTCGGGCTCTGTGCTGACAGCTCAGCACCTGGGGACTGCTTCGGATTCTCTGTCTCCCTCTCTCTCTGCCCCTCGCCCACTCACACTGTCTCTCTCTCTCTCTCTCTCTCTCTCTTTTTCTCTTTCTCTCTCTCAAAAATAAATAAACATTAAAAAATTTAAAAAGCTCACCTTCCAGCCTTGTGTATAAGGCATACTCTATGAGGAAGGTAAGACTAGAGCTAGCATGGTTCATCTCTCTTATTACACATGAGAAATTAAATAACTTGCCCCAGGTGATACATTGTAAATGCTAGAGCCAGGGTTTAAGTCCAGTGTAGCAGCCTCAGATCCCAAAATCTCAACCACTCTGCCTTTAAAAGGTCGGAGGCAGCTGAGATGGGAAGGAGAGTGGTCCAGGAATGAAGGGAGGAGGTGGGGAGCTTGGGTGACTACTTCCAGGTGTGCCGCTTTGCCTACTGGAAGATGGTGTTACCTTCAAATTCGTTTTCAGTATTTTATATTGTTGCATTTTTTTGATGGTTGTAGTATTTCTCATTTAAGCTGCTGTTATTATTAATTCACAGAAAAAAGTCCAGAATGTTGACCAAATTTTACAAAACAAGTTGTGTATCAGCTGATGAATGCATGAAAAGTTTTGGAGGCTTTCACAGTAGTTTTAAGGTAAGTTCAGTTTTTGTTGTTGTGTTTTTTAAGACAATACTCCTAAAGCATAAAAAATTCGATTTTTATGCAAGCAGTTGAACTTAACCTTAAAAACACTGTGAGAGTCTTAAACACCTGCTTCCTGGATTTTCTGTTGTCCCAAAGCACAGAGCTGGTCAGAAGTCCCTAAAAGTGTTTCCCAGGTGGTCTACCATGACACATTGAAGTGCTAGCATTCCATTTTGAAGATGATAAAACTGAGTTTAATTAGAGTTAAGTAACTTTGCCCGAGATCCCTTAAGGCTCAGAACTGGGGTGATGATCTTACAGTCTAGACTTTCTGCCCGCATCACTGAACTGCTTCCTCTAGGAGAAAGGAAGGTGGGTATGGTGGTTTACTTGTCTCGTGAGGCAGGGGGCGCTGCCCTGGAAGCAGAGTTGCTATGTTATGCAGTAGTACTCTTGAATTTCCATATCAGAACATTGTGCATAATAATGTTAGTGTCTGTAATACCAATTATTTAGAAGGCATTTTAGGATTTCTAGCATATTAAGTATTTTTCTCCTTCCTTGGCCCCTCCGTTGTAGTATATTAAGTATTTGCATTAAATAAACCTGATTTCCACTGGCATTGCCTACATATAATGTGTAAGTCACAGCACTGGGAAGGTGAACAGAAGTGAAAGCAACACAGCCATCAGCAGCAATAGACCCTCCCAGTCCATCTCACAGTTTACCTCTGGTCACTTGATCTGGCTGATACAATGTGAGAATGTTTTTAAATTAGATTATGTAATGGGTCTATGATGTTAGCCCTAGAAGCCTTTAGAGATCATCTACTATGGCCACCTTGAAGACCCAAGCAATTGGTCTAAGATCTTCTAGCTGCTTTGTGACGGAGTAACATCCACTTTTTGCTTCATGATGATTAATCTGTTAGTTTGTATGTTCTTCTTCATGAATTGGGGCTGTTGTACTGACAGGACACTGGACATTGCTTTTAGTATCAGAGATTCATTACTTTAAGAAATAGTAGGAACCTTTTGGGATTGGAGAGAAGAAAAAGGTTCATTTATTACAGCTGATATATTGATTGTTTTTAATAAGGCCATTGAAAACTTGGAAGATTATTATTTTTAACCTTTAAAAATAACTGATATTGGGAATTTTATTGTTTTATTTTTTGAAAGTAGAAAAACAAAAGTAAGAACTGATTTGTGATTGCATAGTATATAGAAAATAAACATGAAGGATTTTTACTTTTGAAATTTGTGTTGATTTTGTGGGCTAGTTTAAAATGTGGCCTTTCAAATTAATTTTGTTTAAATACGTGCATAAAAAAATCAAATATACAGCATTAATTGTTAATGAACAGTGCAAGAATATTAATCCTAGCTTTTAGCTATCAACTTGAAGGAAAGAAATCTAAATTTTGAAACATTAAGAAAAGTGACCCTGAAAAGAATGCACATAAGTTTTTCCTACACCTCATAGTTCTAGTACTATCTAATGAGTCTCAAAGTCCTCTCCCAAGTTTCATGGTCAGGCAGACATCTGTGGCTTAGAAGGAGTGAGCCATTGTAGCAGTCAGTGCCCTGTCCTCCTCTGAAGAGCAGCTAAAAGGGGCATAAAATGTGGCATCTTTGAATACGTACTTGCCAATTCCTGGTGACTCACCTGGAGGGCCAGTGGCCTTACTCTTGCCCAGCTGGCCCGCTTTTAGACCACTGCTGGCAAGTAAAGCATGCTTATGGGGCCTTCCTCCTGAAAGTTGACTTCTTCACTGGTTTTACTATCCATAAGCTTCAAGTACTTTGTTTGGCCTTAGAGTCACTAAGAAGCCTAGCTATAGTCTGTTTTAGAGAACGGGGATGGGTATGGTGTTGGGTGAGAAGAGGTTAAATGTGTGTTGTGAGTGGCTCATGCTTTTGGCGGTATTATCTAAAACTGTCTGTAGTGTATTTTTAGGTATGGGTGAGAGTAACTGTGCTTGGAATAGAAAAGCCCTGCTGCACCGAGACACGATGCTGGCGGCTGCAGCGGTGTATGGAGGTAAGGGAGCTGAGCGTCCTTCCCCCCCGTGCCTCACTGGGGAACCCATGCCCTGCCATGTTTGCCCCTTCAAGTTGCCAGGGCTTTTTCCTTTCCTGTAAAGGCCTCGTCAGATTTCTCGTCCTTCCTTTCAGAACACAGATCCTGTAGTTCCATATCCTTTTTCCAAACAGCCCTTACTGTGTTCATAACTGTCAGCTTCTCAGTGTTGAGGATTTTTCACATGAAGCATTTTCAGTGTCTTCCCAGTATCCCAGTATCCATTTCTCTTTGAAGGACACGACCTTTCATTGAGCAGATTTTCTTTTCCTACTTCCATTTTTTCAGATTTTAATATTATTTGTCTTTATAGAAATGTACGGAAATGAGGATGGTTCAGTACCTGCCACGTATCAAATCTATTACATGATAGGATGGAAATACCATGATTCGCAGGTAATGTTATTAAGATAAATCACTTTTCTTAGTGGGTTCATGTTTCTATTTAGTTTCAATTTTTTATTTACAGAGGGTGGGGGATTTAAAAAAATACATGATGGCATTAAGGGATTTAATTTAGAGCTCTGTATTTATCTATTTCTAATGTCTTTAATCTTTCATTATTTTCAGGCCCAACCAGCTGAAAGAGGTTCAGCAACTGTGTCATTTGGAGAGCTGGGAAAAATAAATAATCTTATGTCACAGGAGAAAAAATCACAATAAATATTTTATCCAGTGTTAATGTAGTCCACAATTTTCATCAGAGATGGATAATTTTCACGTCTAAAATTACTACGTTTTGCAGCAGGAAGTCTATAAGTGGGGTGCCTGGGTGGCTCAGTCAGTGAATTGTCTGCCTCTTGATTTTGGCTCAGGTCATGATCTCACAGGCATGAGATTGAGCCCCACGTAGGTTCCACACTGGGTGTTGGAGCCTACTTAAGATTCTGTTTCTCTCTCCCTCTGCCCCTCTCCCCGCTCATGCTCTCTCTGGGGGGTAGGGGGGAAAGCAGTCTATAAGTGATGTACTGTCAGACTTCTAGTAATTAGAATAACCTCATGCTACATCTACATGTAGTAACCATTTCAGTTTTACCTGGTTTCTGTTTTCATACGGATACTGTTACCTAGTGATTTGAGTGCCTTATTTGCAGATTCAGCCCAAAAGCAAGAAGGTATTTCTCTGAAAAGTCCACAAATCTGTTCACATATAGAAATGCCTGACTTGATGGAAAAATATTGCTCATGCTGACATTTTGTACCTTTTTCTCCTTCTGACCTTTTGTTTTTTTCCATGAGAGGGCCATAGCCATGGAGATGAGAGGAAGGACAGGTTGGTAGATTTGCTAGAGTACTGGCTTATTTGGAATGAAAACAGTTCTTATAAATGACTGTTCTAAGAGACTTAAGCCAAAATCATTTGTCACGCTGTCATCTTTGTTGTGCAGACAGCATGGAATTATATCTCTCTCCAGAGCTATTATGTAGTATTGTACTTTAGAAAAGTGTGGCTCTTTATTGAATCTTTCCTCATTTTTTTTTTTTTTTTAGCATCTGAATTCTAATCATTTCTTTTTCACCTTTATGGTCTTGGTAGGACCCCCAGGGTTTTACACCCCCATCCTACCTTAGGTAGGAAGAGAATGTTTTAAACAATTACAGAGGTAAGATCCCACGTGAAAGGAGCTGCACAGTGATGAAAAGTGCTGTTTGTTGTTTGCCTTTCCTTTGTCATTTAAGGCCTTTGGCACTATTATTCTAATCCAGGTCCACTGTCCCATTGTCATCTAGAAGTGATCAAAATCATTTGGAAGTAGTCAAGGTCAGATGGCTTAAAATAGGGTGAAGAAGGTGGTGATGAGGAATCAGGGAGGAGGCTGGGAAGCAAACAAGAGTGTGCCGGGGCGCCTGGATAGCTGAGTCAGTTAAGTGTCTGCTGGGCATGGAGCCTACTTCCAATAAATTTTTTAAAAATAAAATAAGAATAAATAATATAAAATAAATAAAAATAAAATAGTACCGACTTCCATTCCTCCAACTTGAGATAGGATGTAGTGCTGTGGAACAGCTGAGCAGGTGTGTTAAAACTTCATCCTCACTGTGAAATGCCAGGTGGTGGCACTTGGTTGTTTATCATTTATGTTGAAATAAACCCAGCAGAAACAGGTCTGTGTCAGTTCACATGGATGAGGCACAAAACTCACCATACTAAAAAAAAAAAGAAAGAAAGAGAAAAAAGTGCTGAGTCTGCATCACCATCAATTGAGAGCCATTTGCTGTCCTTTTCGTTTAACCAGGCACCACCCCAGCTGCCGCCTCTTCAGCGTTAGGTAAGTTATTACGGTGTTTGCCTCCTGGGTCTTCTCTCCCTCTACCACACTGGCACCAAGCTCTTCTGGGTATGGGCTGTGTCTGCCTTGTCCACAGCTTGGTACTTTGCACGTAGATATTCAGTTACATTTTGAATTGAATTATATGGAAAATGTATCCTTTGAAAAACTTAAGTTACAGTTACAAACCGAAGTTTTGTAAGAGAAAAAGAAATTCCTATTCTTGCTACCTTCAGGTAGGAAATCTATCAATATTAGAAATTGGGATACTCTTTTCAGCTTTCTGTTTTATTTTTAACACAAAGGAAAAGAATATGTGGGAAGTAGAATTGGGGGAAGTTTTTTTAAGCTTAATTTTCAGAATTTGAAGGAAGAAAAGAACAAAAATAAAAACCCCTATGTGTTAAAAGTACAGACTGATGACCGAGGAACAGATAAATTCCATGGTGATTGTGGTGACTGTGTTTCCTAAAGAACATGTGTTTATATGCCTTAATATTTGTTTTTGAAGAATGCATACAAAATTGTGGTTATTGCTGAGAAACTAGGTGTGTCTGTATCTGTCATGTTTGGATGTCTGTCGGGTGCAGGAAGTGAGCAGAAGTTAGGAAGGAGACTTGTACTTTGCATTTTTATATTTTTCTGTAAAATTTGAAGTTTCTTACCAAGCACATTACCTGTTTCTTTCATGCCAATTGCAGATACATGGATTGTGAGGTGGGTCTGGGGAGGAGTCTATGCTGGGCTATCTCAAAGATGAGACCGCTTTTTAAAAAAATAAAAGAAAAATTAACATCTAATTGAGGACACTTACTGTTTAGCATGAGTGACAGTAGTAAAGTTAATTTTAATATCTGCTTGAGTGGAGGTTCCTCAAAAAATTAAAAATAAACCTACCCTGTGACCCAGCAATAGCACTGCTAGGAATTTACCCAAGGGATACAGGAGTACTGATGCATAGGGGCACTTGTACCCCAATGTTTATAGCAGCACTCTCAACAATAGCCGAATTATGGAAACAGCCTAAATGTCCATCAACCGATGAATGGATAAAGAAATTGTGGTTTATATACACGATGGAGTACTACGTGGCAATGAGAAAGAATGAAATATGGCCCTTTGTAGCAACGTGGATGGAACTGGAGAGTGTTGTGCTAAGTGAAATAAGCCATACAGAGAAAGACAGATACCCTATGTTTTCACTCTTATGTGGATCCTGAGAAACTTAACAGAAACCCATGGGGGAGGGGAAGGAAAGAAAATAAAAAGAGGTTAGAGTGGAAGAGAGCCAAAGCATAAGAGACTCTTAACAACTGAGAACAAACTGAGGGTTGATGCGGGGTGGGAGGGAGGGGAGGGTGGGTGATGGGTATTGAGGAGGGCACCTTTTGGGATGAGCACTGAGTGTTGTATGGAAACCAATTTGACAATAAATTTCATATATTGAAAAAAATAGTATCTGCTTGAAGTATCTGTCAAACTTTAATTGTTTGAAACCCTCAGGCAAGTCATTTTTCTGAATAGCTGTGTTTTCCAAATTAAGAACTCATCCTTTTAAGCAACGATACTTTATTATTTTTTTAATTTAAACTTTATTTTAATTTATTTTTTAAAAACAACTTTTTAAAATTGTGTGGCTGACACAATGTTACATTAGTTTCAGGTGTATAGCATAGTGATTCAACAAGTTACGCTATGCTCACCACAAGTGCAGCAGCCATCTGCCACCATACAAGGCTATCACAACACCATTGATTATATTCCTTATGCTGTACCTTTCATCCCCATGACTTATTCATCCATAACAGGAAGCCTGTATCTCCTAGTCCCCTTTTACCTACCCCCAAAATGGGTATCTACCCCCAAAATGGGTATCTACCCCCGCCCCTCCTCTGGCAACCATTAGTTCTCTGTATTTATGGGTCAGTTTCTGCTTTTGTTTGTTTGTTCCTTTGTTTAGATTCCACTTATGCGAAATCATAAGATTATTTGTCTTTACCTGATTTATTTCACTTAGCATAATACCTTCTAGGTCCATCCATGTTGTTGCAAATGGCAAGAACTCATTCTTTTTTTATGACCGAGTAATATTCCATTATATATATGTATATATACACCACATCTGTATCCATTCATCTATTGGTGGACACTTGGGTTGCTTATGTATCTTGGCTACTATAAATAACACTGAAATAAACAGGGATGCATATATTTTTTTGAATTAGTGTTTTTGTTTTCTTTGGGTAAATGCCCAGTAGTGGAATTACTGGATCATATGGTATTTTTAATTTTAATTTTTCTGAGGAGACTCCATACTGTTTTCCACAGTGGCTGCACCAGTTTGCATCCCTACCCACAGTGTATGAGGGTCCCCTTTTCTTCATATCCTTGCCAACAATTGTTATTTCTTACCTTTTTGATATTAGCCATTCTGACTGGTGCAGGTGATATTTAATTTTGCTTTTGATTTGCATTTCCTTGATGATGAGATACGTTGAGCATTTTGTTATGTATCTATTTGCCATCTGTATGTCTTCTTTGGAAAAATATCTGTAGAACATAACCATTTCTTTATAACTCCACAGTCATTATCATAAACTCAAATTGTATTGCATCACTTGCTCCTACACTGGCCCCAAGAATGATGTGGTTTGTCTCTTATCCAATACTTTTTTTATTTGCTGCCACTTGTGAATTTCATTAGCTCACCAAAAGTGAACTTTCTTCAGTCAGTCTACTTTCTGATCTGTAAGATTAGAATTCAGATTAGAAGGTTTCTAAGGCTAGTGTGTAAGGTAGGAAAGAGGAGCGAGGTTCTGGGAGAAGGACTTTCCTTGCAGTAAAACGCATGAGCTTTATTGGTTCCATTAACACATCTTCACTGAGGTTCTTGTGCTAGGCTTCCAATGCTCTGCTTTTAGTTGGTGGCCTAACAGGACTTCCATGTATGGGCACTGGGACATCTGTTGGCTGTCAGGAGACTTTTTGGATTATTCCTGGTTCTTAGCAGTATTCCACATTGTTGGAATGAAGAATTCCAGAAGTGGCAGTATATATGAATATTTATATTTTAAGAATAAAGATTGTTGCTTTATAGAAAATTTCTGCAGGATTTATTGAGATGGAAGCTACTCCTGGACATCAAGTATGTGATATGACCGTAAAAAGTTACACATGTTGTGCAACTCATGAAGTATCTATGAAGCAAGTTTTGTCTTTCAAACCCTTTCAGTACCATTTTATTTACTAGGTGGAAACAATGATGCTATGGCCTATGCTGAAGACATGTACAATTTTTATACTCCGTATATACCCCTTAAGTAAGGACGGGATAATAATAACTTACAAGTTATTATTTTAGCCTCTGTTGCCTAAGAAGAAATGTTTTGAGCT